ATAGGAATGCTCCAAGAATTTTAGCACATCTCTTTCTAATTCTTCTCATGCATTCTTATAAAGAACTGAAATAAAAAATATATACTTAGAAAGAGTCTTACTTTTTAATAGATAATTGAGACTAATAGATAAACTGATAGATATGTGTTATATTAGTAATAATAATTTTTGTTAATAATGTACACATATTAATAAAAAAAACTATTATTTTACCTAAATTAACGTTGTAGTGAGGATAGATTTTTCACATAATTTTTCACCACAACACAAATTCCTGGTCTTCTCGTCCTCTCGTTACTCTCTCTACCAAACAATGGACCCGGCACCCGACGGTGAATCTATGGGATGCTAAGAAGTTCGTCTCTACATTAATACTAAATTATATAGGTTAGATTTAATTTAAAAAATAACATAATATAATTACAGTAATTGGATCCGTATGAAGCCGAGGCGAATCGTTAGTTTTCTAAAACTTGTAAATGACATTTAAAGTAATTATAAAACCATTTCGAAAATAATTTCAATTGATAAAAAATAAGTCCATTTTTTAATATACCTAGGACTTAAAATTTTCATACAATACAAATGAACAAACATATTCTCAGGCTGTAATAAATAATTTTATACACCTAGATAGTGGCGCTAACAAACGGTTGAAACGACATTAACGGCACCTCGCATTACGACCGTTTCAGTTTAATGTTGCCATACCAGAACAAGATTGACATCGCTATACGGAGCATTATAGTGTTGTCTTTGAGTCAGTCAATTTTAAAATACGGTACTGGCCATAAATACGGTCATAGGTCATTATATTTTGAGCACAGACTCTTGCTGCTGGTAATTTAACTAGTGACACTAACGACACGGTAGGTTACCTAGTACAATACTGGATTAATACAGAAATATCAAAATTTTAAATTAGACTTTAAAGATAAAACTTTAGAGTGGTTTTTCAAAACTTTATCAATTTTGAGTTAATGTATACTACTCTGCACCCGTGCGACTTGGTGTCGCACGGGTGCACGGATAATACGGGAATAATAAAATACAGTAATTTCTCTAATGACATATTTTTTTTATGTAATTGGTATGGTAAAAAGGCTGACGTCTTGGCTAATGGAAAGTGATATCTGTCACGTATATCATACGTCACAAAATATATTGCCCGTCCATGGTGGCAACCACTCTCATTTGTTGCAACTCTCAGAATAAGGTATGCATTCTTGCTTTGTCATTTAACCCTTCATATCAGTACATTATTTGTAATGCACAGAGGGAAACTCCATAAATTCATCTGCATGAGTGTTTTTATTCATTTATTAAAACTTCAATGCACAAATATATCAGAAATATGTAGGTACATGACGTACTTAACACTCACTCAACCATTGGGAAAATTAATATTTATATGGGCGGTGCATTATCAAAATTAAATGAATATATGTCAGATGAATTTATATTTTTCCCTTAGTAAACATACATACAAATATTTTAAAGAGGGTGTCGCATATGGATGTGGATGTGTTAAAGGGTCCAGGAAGTTCGAAAAGAAATGGATGAACAATGTGAAAGATGACATGTGTAAGGAAGGGAATAAATTACGAGATGACTGCGAACAGGATTGAATGGAAGAGACATATTAAGTCTACCCCAAATTTATGGGATAAGGAAGAAGCAGATGTATTATATCTACATATAAACCTTCCTCTTGAATCACTATATCTACTGCTAAAAACTACATTGATATCCATTGCGTAGTTTAAAAATATATACTCTGTAAAACAGATTAGTGAAATACGGTTTAACATGGATGAATTATAAATTACCGAAAATAAATGTGCACAAATTTGTTTTTCTTTATTAAATTTCACATTTTCTTATATCAATTTCCTTAATACTTGCTTCGAGCCATCTAAATTGAAATATGAAACAATTCTATATCGGGTTTTGGTCGTAATTATGAAATCATCGCAATTTGCATTGTAGGCAAATCGATTATTATTACAACCTTACAGAATCAGCCATTATAATTATTACTTGGTACCGTACAAAATTGGGCGTCAACGAACTGCCGTCGTTGCCTACGAAATAATAGAGGCAAGGAAATTATAAATGTTATTATCTCCCAGCAGGTTATGGTGCTATTACGGCTTACAATCGTGTTATATGAAACTCGATTTGTATATCATAATTTAACTAAAAGCTCAATTTCAAATTGCCTACATTATCTACGCTTTGATGGTTAAGGTCAAGTTAAAAAAAGTTTGGTTTATTGAACTTAATCGGTGGATTTCATCTTTATGTACACATTTTATGTGCATTAAAGATTTTTTTCATTATCTGAAGATTGTTCTGGGCACTCCCAAAGCAACCAGATTGTATTTATTTTTAATGGCACATTTTGAGTTTAATTATATTTTTTTACAATATTGTTACATAATTTCACATAATAAATAAATAATAATCAAAGATTGTTTTTAAAGCTTTGCAATATTCGTAGATGGCAAATTAGTTGCAATTTTTTTCCTGTGTTTAATTTTATGTTATACTAATAAAAAAAAGTAATATTTTTCTTGTTAATATTAATAAAAGTTAATAAAAATAGTAAAACTAGTTTTTGTTTTGTTTCGTGAGATAGAAGTATTTAATTTCTACCATAATTGGTAGTAAAATCTTAGATTAATCAAAATGATACAATCAAAGTTTTTTTGGGTAGCTTGGTACTTTAGTAGAACTGTACATTGTTATAATCACGTACGATTCTAGGTTACTGTAACACCAATTTGAAATCGATACAATCGTCCAATGCACTATCGATACATTAAAATTCGTAATGGATTACCGGATCTGATAGATTATTCTCGCACCAAATATGATCTGTCCGCTTGATCTGATGTCCGAATTGTATTCATATACTCAATTCAATCGAGTTGTGAATTGCGGTTGCGTGTTTAGTGGTATTCTTCTACACTATTAACCTTGACCTACACATCCAATTCTATATATAACAACAAAGATATATATAATAAAACTTAAGAAGCTACACATCCAATTCTATATATATAAAACAAAGATATAGTCCCACAAAGATATAGTCTTAATTTTTTACCGATTACCAAAAGGAGGATATTCTCAAGTTTCAACGGTATTTTATACCTATGAAATGAGCGATATGTTCTTTAAATCTGAATTGTTTTCGGTTATTGGTTTTAGTAATAGATACAGTTTACTCCTGAGTTTATCATCGGTTTTCAAATTCTGAATTTTGGTTGACTTTTTGCAAAATTCAGAGATAAACAAGATGGTAACCTGGCAATACTGAGTTAAATAATCGTTATGAAAAATCTTTATTTTAACACTAACGTGAGAGACAATACGACCCACTTAACATTTATCTTTCTCCTACTATTGTTAATTCATTAAATATTTATAATTAAATTAGAGTTAATCTTGTTTACCTCTAGAATTACGACAAATTCACACGCAGAGAGCACCGTCCGTGGTCCCGCATCGTGGTACAGTTTTAATTGCGTCTAATTAGAAATTATGCAATGTAACATAACTGTTTATGTAATTGTTAGTTGATGATGCTCAATAAAGTTTCCGAGTAACGTTTCCGCTACTCCTAAATACTATATCCACAGACAAAAGAACTTTGCACACATTTTTACAAAAAAAATATTAATGGTATTGTTTAAGCATTTTAATTAAAAAGAATATTAGCCTACTGCACTTCTTATCCATATAAATTTTTACTGTGCTAGATTTCATACTGATCCGTCCATCTACTAAAATAATTCTTTTAACATACGCAACTTATATTCTTTGAAAATTAATAACGTTCAAACGTACAATTTAAATTAATTATAATCACTGGGCGATCATTAGTTAAATTTAAAATAAATTCCACAAATATTACAACATTGTTTTACTTCGTGATTGCTATAGAAACGTGACAACGTAATCTTATTCTTAATCTATTCTTAACACAGCTCTTAGTTCATAGAAAGTCGGCTATAGACAATTGTTCTAAACGTTTCTAATCGAAGTGGATTGAAAAATAACGTGTTTACGAGGTCCAAAAACCTTCTGCGGTAAATAAAATATTTGAATACTATTGAGATCCACTATATAGCAAAGAAACCTGCGCGTTTTACAAAATATTTAAATCAATATTAATGAGAAACCATTGCAGAGATTGTTGGCAGGGAACGAAGTAGCGGTATCCCATAACAACAAAAGATATTACCGTATTCAATGTAAAACAACATAGATACAGTGGAAACGTTTAATAATGTTGGTAATACTTTAAAAAAACAAAATAATCTTACCTGTTAATAATAAGTATGTGAAAGATTGTATATTATGATGCTAATTAACTTAATTACGACTAAAAGACTGAACATATATGAATACAATTTCATGAACAGATGATACAACATTTTTTAATCCAACTCGCGTAGTTGCGCCGCGTGATTCTGTATCTCTATCTGTGATATAATCGAATACAGTTAACAATGAATGAATTTAACATATTGATTCCTAGAATTCTAAAAACCCTATTTTATTAAAGTACCTAGGTAGATATTAAATTAGGTTGACTGCTAGGAGAATTTTGATTTTTTATGTGTACGGATTGTCTCTGAGATCTTTGATTAAGTATCTTGAAAAAATCTTTTATTATGTCAAAGGTAAAATAAGCTAGAAATAATATATATTAAACTCGGGTGAGACCGGGATCTAACCTATACTAACTAGGAACTAACTGCGGGAAAGTAAACTCCAAAGCAATGCTCCGTTTTTAGAAATTCTTTCACTGTTTCAAAGGTAAATTCTAGAGTCCCATAGGCTATATAATTATTACATTAATAATAATATACCTAATACATATTAGTAAGTATATATAATACTCGCAAAGATATAAGTGACCTGCGTAAGCGAAATAACCTCGAGTCCCTTACTATACATGATTCAGAATTATTGTTTCTTGTTCACAGAGGGCGCCAATACAATGTGGCGCGCAATACTGCTGGCGTGCTTAGTAACCTCGAGTGGTGGTCAGCAGACACGACCCAACAGGGTCGTCGATCTGTCCACCACCTGCGACAGAAGTTCCGTCACCGTAACTCTAGATATGGAGCAGCCTTTCAAAGGACTCCTGTTTAGCAAGGACTTCTCGAGAGAATGTCAGGCGCAAGGTTAGTGTAATAAATTTAATAACTTTGTTATATATCATTAGCTCACTACACGTTTTAGAAGTATATAGATATTAACTGAAAATGTGGTGAGCAACTAATCCTAAATAAATAAATAATTATAATGCCCTCTAATATTATATATGCGGTAGTATCTCTGCCTGTTTCTCTGTTGCTATTTGACGACCTATATCTAAAAATAAGGAGTAACAGTTCACAGCTACTACTATATAATATAAGAAACAATTCCTATAGGAATATAAATATAATTTAATTTAATATCTTGTAGAAATATAATTGACTAGCTTTTGCCCGCGGCTTCGCTCGCGTTATTTTATCCCCTTAGGGGTGGAATTTATCAAAATGCTTTCTTAGGGGATGCCTACGTTATTATAACTTTATGCATGCAAAGTCTCAGCCCGATCGGTTTAAAATTGACAAAGTTCATACATACTTTCATCCCCTATTTTGAGGGTAGAATTAATCGAAATCCTTTCTTAGCGGATGCCTACGTCATAACATCTACTTGCATGCCAAATTTCAGCCCGAACCGTCCAGTGGTTGGGGCTGTGCGTTGATAGATCACTACGTCAGTCACCTTTGAGTCGAATTTGAATATATATTTAGATTAATAGAAATATAATTAAGTACAATAAATAGCGGTCCCAAAAAGGTTGTTAAGAACCGCACGTTACAGTCTCCACGGTATACTATAACCTCTTATCGTGTCCTTCTCATTTTGTCTATCGTCCTGTACAAAAGTAGACCTGAACAAAGCTAAAGACTACTATAAAAGTCGCCAAGTTTATGCGTAAACATACTTTGGTTGGATACATAATAAATAACCCTGGACATAACTGTCCACACAGCGCCATCTAGTCCCCCGGTAACCAGAGCTTGTGTTATGGGTACTAGACAACTGATATAAATACTTGAATTTTTTTTGTAAATAGATACCTAATATAAATAGAAAACATCCACACCGATACAAACAATCATACTTATGAATACAAATGTTTGTACATTGTAAGGAATCGAACGTGCGAACATCGGGTGTAAAGCGGTGTGCTACAAGGCTAGACCACTGAGGCCGTCAAAAAAAAACAACCACACCTCTCGTTTCATAGCTTTATGCAGTAATATTTATTTGTATCTAATTTAAATTGTATTCTGCACCTACTTTAAACTTATATACTTATGATTTTCAGGTAATTTCCAGAATAAGGTTTCGTTGCGTCTACCGTCGAATGCGTGTGGAGTGAGGACCTCGGCACTGAACACCACCGTCGAGGAACCTGAAGATAATGAAGACCTGTACTACAATGTCGAGCTGGTCGTGCAGATGGACAAGCATTTGCAACAGTCCTCGGATCAAGAACTATTGGTCAGGTGCGTAATAAGGATAAAAAATTATTGTATTTTTTTCAAGTTTAGTTGTCTGCGCAATTTTCGTAAAAAGGGGAACAAAGTTTTTACATCTCATATTTAAATCTAAAGTGTATTGAAATATATGTCTGGTCCTATGTTCTAGGTGTAAACTGCAACGACGTGCGGTCCGCATCAATAGTTCAGCGTTAGAAACTGTTATCAATACAAAATTACACGAAATGATTGGCCAAGAAACAAAGAAAATGAGGTAAATATATTTTAATCATGTATACAAATAAATAAAATTGAAGTGTCTGTTTGTAATCTCCATTTACAACCTTTCACTAAATGTAAAAGAAAGTACTTCGATCAATAACTTAATTAATATGTTTTTTGTTTGTATGTTTGTTCGTGCTAATCTCTGAAACGGCTGGAACGATTAAGATGGGACTTTTAGTCGCAGATGCGTAAGGAACTAATTTATGTAAACCAAATGAGGTCACTAATAAAGCCTAGGAATTGTTTTGCCATATAAATTATTATCGCTATTAAAAAATAGGAGTTGATGATAGAAGGGTGAAAATTAAGAGTCGTGTGTATTTTTAATGCGAAATACTATGTTTTTTTTTAAATTGTTGAAAAAATAATATTTTGGGGTGAGCCACCCTTAACACTTAGGGGTATAAAAATTAGTTATAAACCTATTCTCACTACTACTGAATACACATATATAATTTCATCAAAATCGGTTAAGCCGTTTCGGAGGTGTATTGTATAGTAATAGAATTTTATAGATTAGATTAATAAAACAATTGGGATAAGTGTTGACTGTGAATCTTTTCAATTCCAGGACTGGTCGTAACCGCCAGGGCTTCGTTAATTCAGCCGAGGTGGAGCAGCGGGAGTGGCTGATGGAAGCGGCACGGGCTTGGATGGAACTGTCGCCCGCTGTTGCTGCAACAGAACCCGCCACCGTTGAAGTCGGGCAACCGACGAGGCTCCTTATACAATGCACTCTGCCTGGTAAGGTATAATAATAATAATATATAGAACAATTCAAATAGTAACAACTAGTCCCAAGCTAAGCAGAGCTTGTGTTATGGGTACTAGACATCTGATAGAAATACATTATTTTTTGTACTACTGTACTATACTATTACTGTAATCTTAGGTAGGATAGGCAGCGGTCTATACTATATATTACAGTTATGAAGATATGTATTATTTTAATGGAATGGTGGACCTGTCTACGCTAACGGCACACGCTGTGCTCCAGTGGAGAATGACAAGATGAGTACGAGGTCGAAATAGCACGTGGTAGTAAACTAATCGGGAATTCAACTTCATGGTTTCCAATGGGAACCACGTGGAAGTTAACCTGGGATGGTACATTACTGGCATAGGGTTATTAATCCACATTACTAACAATCCTCTTCTCACCAAATATTGGTACTATATGTATTATAAGTATTATTTTACATTTTATTCCAGTTGGAGTTGGTTTACGAGTAACTAACTGTGTTGCACATGATGGCTTAGGAGAAGCATCTCAGAAATTATTAGACGAAGCTGGCTGTCCTATTGACGAGACCATATTCAATAAGCCCACCATTCACCGCCACAAAGCCAAAAGTCCCGAGATCGATTTTTCCGATTTGGAACCCGCCGATACTCAGCGAAATATTGATGAGAATACCAGCATTAAACAAATCAGATCGGATCCTGAAACTATGTTTAAGAACATAATGACGTACCAACATGCCATTACCACTTTTGCTGCCTTCAAGTTTCCAGACAGAGCAAAACTGCATCTTACTTGTGGTATAGAGTTGTGTAAGGGCCGTTGCCCACCTGTAGACTGCAAAGCCCTGCAGAAACCTCAGCAGATAAGGGATGGCTTAGTACGAAAAGCACGTTTAGACAAAGACGCTAAAGGAATAGTTATAGATAGACTTGAGGTATACAATAGTATAGAGGTACTGGCACCTAACATTGAGTTAGAAGATGAAGCGTCAATTAGAGGTGAGATTACTTTAAAGTTAGACTAAATATTACTGTTTCCAGTTATAAGTAATATGTCATCTTAGGTGCATCATACGTACTTTAGGGATATGTTGAAAATACGACGTATCTGTCTCTGAAGACCAATATCTGCTTATCAAATACGGGCATAACTATTCATTAGTTGTTCAAAGAACATGATGGTTGTATAAAGCATATTATTTTCGTAGGTACATTAGGAACGGCAAACAAGCTCGCCGCGCACCTAATAAAATAATATCCGGCGTTTTTACAGACACGCAAGTGTATGAACATTTTACAAAGGAACCGTAACCATTAGGTAATGCGCTGCTTTTACTGAGGACTAAAATGTTATGGCTTCGAGTCTTTTTTATCGAGTGGAAAAATCTTCCAAAGACCGTACCCCTAACCTAAGGGTGACTAGGAATTCTTACTCATTGGGATTGGGACAAGGTATATCTACGAGCGCCATTGCCAGAGTCGGAGGTCGCGTTAGTATTCTATCGCGACTCCGGCTGCAACGCAGAATATGATGGCCCGCCCTGTAGATGGTGTAGGGCAGTTCCCATCTCGTTGTAAGTGCAAATGGCCCCAAGCCTGGTTGTAGTACAGCTATATTTTACACTTCAAACTAAAACACGAGATGATAAGCTGATTGACGTTAGAAATATGTCAATATAAATGAATAGATAAAGTGTAGTGGTCCAACATGCTATAAAGTATTACTTTTTCATTTAGGTTCAAGACGAATAGAAGCTGAAGAGGATGACTTAATTCGAAGATTCTCGCCCGGAGACAAGACCATCTGTCTATCGCCAGGGAAAATGGCTCTTGCGTTCTGCGTTCTTGGGGTTATATTCCTTTGCGCCATAGCTGTTGCCTTCGTGTCATTAGTGCGAGCGAGACGGCGACTAGGAAGGGAACCACTCAATACATCTCTCTCATTCTACACAGGTAGCAAGAGTATGTTTTCTTCCAGTGAAAGTTCCAGCTCTGGTCTCAGTGGAAGCAAACTACTGCTTACTGATAGTCCATACTTAGACCAGCATTCAACATCTAGTAATAACTGGCCATATTCTAGAGCATTCTAAATAATGCTTTATTTACACGGTGCGGCGGCAATCTCTAACCAATTTTAACGGAGAATGGTCGTCTACGCCATGCTAGTTTCCAGAAGTTAGGTACGGACTCGTGAGCAGGAGTTAGCCAGCAGCTGCTCCAGATCTAAGTACCTACTTACATAAATTTGAAGTGCAATCGCCCCCATTTTCGTCTAGTGAAGCTGTAAAGGCTAAGCAAGATCATCAACAGTAGGATAGTTCGAAAAAAGGTGCTATGCATTCATGCGATATTTTTATGGTGTATGCGGCCGTAATGCTCATGTTTTAGATTAATGTTAATTATTTATTCTTTTTTAGTGCTTTCTAATTAATAGTACTATCTATAAGACTGCATTCGTTGTATAAAACTCCAAAGTTCTGAGTCTAGTTTGTAATGTATTTATTTCATTAATATTAATACCTATGAACAATGTTGTTCTAATTAAATATCTATATAATTGAGGCGGTGCTTTTGATAAATATAATATTGATACTTTTTCCTATTTGGGCAAAGGTTAGGGTAACATTATGGTGGGTATCAAGATTATTTATGCTTTCCTTATGATTTTATGGTATTACAGTAAAATTGAATATTATTTCAAATTCATTAGCACTTCCTCGATACATTTAGTACCTAAGATTTGGTTTATAATTAAGAAGCGAACAATAAAAATTGTGATATCATTAAGTATATAAAATATTTTACAGTTTATTATTTTATATTCATAAAACACATTTGTACTATTTTCAAAATAAAAAAAAAACTGGAAAGACTTGTTTATTGTTATTAATCTAATAAGGCAATCTTCAGCACCTTGATCTACCTACCCTGACTTAAACATAAAAAGATAGTGCATTAAAATCTGACTTTAAAAATTAGTAAACTCATTATTCTGATTAAATCTCCGGAAAAAACAATAGCAAACCAAATTTCGGTACCCAAGACAACGACAGTAAGTCACCTGCAACTATTGTGGATTTAAATATTTAAAGGGAAATGTGAGAATATCTAGTGTGGCGATAAATACGATATACACGAAAATGCCTTTGCCTCCATTTGGGATAATAGGTAGTTGTCAAGTTATATTTATTTATTTATTAAACGAAAGAAATTAGTAGAAATCATTCATACTATTTTATTTATATTTGGTGACAAATAAAACAAATAGAATTAATTAACTTAAAATAAATCAATTTTATAATAAAATATTCTTCCACAGGTACTAACTCATTTATATTGCCTGTGAAAGTTCATCTTCTTTTTTCACTATGGCAATCCTACTTATATACTGGAAAAGTGTGTAAATAGGACAAAATTACCTACTTACAGTAAATTTTCATGCCAATTTACTTAATTTAATTTTCTTGACTCAAATCATCAATTTCATGACTATATTTGAACGTATAGTCATAGGATTTAATTTTTTTTCACTATTTGCTAATTTCACACACACCTTTTAGTTATGTAGTCTTTGAGAAATTTACACACTTTATTTTTTTATTTTATTACATTTAAAGAATCACTATTATCGTTGATATTTGAATGAAAACAATTAATATGCTATGACAATAAGTTATCTAATGTAACTAAAAAAATTCATTATCAATTTATTTTACCAAAATTCTGTAATCTTTAGAGAGTTCGGTATCCACTCAAAAAACTTTCTTCCAGATCAGTAAACTTAGAAAAAAAAAATATCAATCTATGGTTAGAAATGACATCACCTTTGTCAAAGATTAAAATATGTAGGTATATAAATTATTTGCTGTCGAAATGTATGGGTGATTCATTATTATTAATATATAATATATAGATGATTATTTCTTGTAAACGCATCAAAAATCTCTATTGGTTTCTACAGAAAGTGTGTCACACTGTCCGTACACACCAATTCGTTATGTACTTTATATATAATACATAACTTTTCGAGATAGATAACACGTTAGTCGATGTTTTTATTATGTACTATTAAATATAATATTTTTGTTTGATACGGTAGACATACACGTCTCTCTAATAGTAGGACACAGTATCAAATTATTGATTCTTTGTAATTTTAATTATAGGAATAAAAAAATAATCAATCTTTTGTTACATTTTAATTCGTCAAATTATTTAATATTCATATTTTTTAACATTCATATTGTTTTTATCCATTATTATAAACTGCAATAGGTACCTAATAATAATGGAATGAATTCGACTGTAGTGTCTGTTAATTTACCACGTCGAATCTATGGCTCTATGGTATGGGCGGTTCGCTTCGCTTGCTGCTCGTACTTGTACCCGAACGAAAGGTGGGTGGTGTGCGATAATAACATGATGCTTTCGCGACGATCCTTTGCCTACTCGCCATCGATGCCGTATTCGTACTCGTAGCCACGGATGATCTCGAACTGTGATTAATTCATAATTACATATACAGAAAGGTTATGTTTGCAAAGCTGAACGTTATTTTAGAAAATATTTTACGAGTGTTTGTGCCGTGAATCGTGAAATCAAATTAGACAAGATTTGTTACAGTTTTCTTATTTATGTTTAATATTGTGTGTGCCGACATATCTATGTGGATAGCAGACTTGGAATAACTTTCTTGGATTCAGTATCAGGTATGTTTTTATTTATTTATATTGTAAATTCACCACATTCTTTATTTAATTTAAGTTTATTTAGTTATGGTCACAGACTAATATATCTATAGGTGCATAGTTTGATTAAAATTTTGCTTGAATCCCAAAATAGGTACTTAAACTAGATGCTGAAATACATAATCCTGTATGTTTCTTATAAAAAAAAGTTAAATACCTACCATTCTTTACTACAACTACATCTACCAAGACAGATACTTTGATAAAATGTTAAATTATATAAAATAGATGAACTATTCTGTCTTCTGTACCGTTAATATGCTCAAGGGTCTTTGATTATTTTAAATTGGTTCTAATTAGGCTTTCTGGAACATAATAATAGATATTAGACAGTCAAGTAGTGTTGTAAAATCAGCTTTACTGAAGTCAATACATATTGTAATTAAATCCATTAGTCTTAAGAGTGGTTATGTATATTCTAAGCATATCCCTCTTTTCTCTCACCTTATTTGAGTAGACAAATCAGTGATTACATGATATTTATTTGACCTATTTGATTAGCATGATTGCACTGACAGACAGTTTTTTTTTATTCTGTTGAGTTAATTGAATCCTATGTTAATAGTTTTACTCATATACATTTTACTTACTCAAACCTACACCCACATCACAAGGCACGGAAACCGAAGTTCCCTCAGCTTGATGATGGACCCGGCACCATGCTAAAAAGTTCATAAAGACTCTCATGTACAGACCGCAATCAGTTACATGTTTATTATTTGTATAGTTTTTATGTTTGTATTCCACAATGAGTTACACTTTTGTCTGATCTAATCTGAGTTTTTATATCAGAATTGATACTTTCAATGTTCAGGACAAGGAGCTTTTCTTAGGCCTTTAGAATGAAAATGCATGAGTGATATCATAATATGATGTATGTATATAGTGCTTGTGTAAAAGTGAGAATCACCGTTTCATCAGATTTCATCTGGTCTCTCAGCTTGTTTGTCATTCCAATTGTATAAAAATTACAAATGTATTGAACAATTCAGAATTGGTAATATAGTTCATAGATTGCTATAACATGAGAAAAAAAATTAGAAATGTAAAGGTACTATAAAAACCACATTCTATTTTTATTGAGTTCTCAATATTTCAGCTGTGTTACAACTGCTATGATAATAGGGTAAACTGAAACTGGGTTGACCATTTTTTGTACTAATTATAGGTATAAGTAATGACCCCATCAAATTTAAAACAATATATTATTGTTACTATATCTTCTTATACATTTCTAGGAAATAATATTCTATATACTTAATTATAGTACTAGTATTCTGATTTTGAAAATGTTTTGCATAAACTTAGTGATTTGGTGGTGTTGTGGTCATTTTTTGCTTTTTGGTCCAGCAGTGGAAATTTCGTATACTTAGTAACAATTTTATTATCATAATTATGTAAACATGTATAAAAGTAAGTTATCAAATACCTACATATCAGTGTTTATCAGTAGCATTATTCACATATGGTATAGGTACAGAAATATCATTCTATAAACTTTTTATCTATATATTACAGTATAAATGCTTGAAGTAGATGATGATATGATTTAAACATTAAAAGAAGGAAAATAAAGAAGAGGTGTTTTAGTGCACAGGTCTGCTTCAAGTCGAATCAACAGTTATTTATTTATAGGACTTTTTAACTGCTTATGAAAGTACATTTTTTATTTTAATATTTTTTCCCTACCTTGAAAATATGTTTATTTTTTTAATTACTGTAAATATATCTATACTAATATTATAAACAGGTAAAGTTTGTGAACTTGTGGATAATCTCTGGAACTACTGTACCAATTTTGAAAACTCTTTTACACTTACTTGTCACATACATATAGTTCTGTAAAATTCTCAAATTCTTAAATAACTTATTGAAATTTCTTGTGTAAAGGAGTTTTTTATTTTTTTTTTATTTGAGGTAACTCGGTTCTTGTCCTTTTCCTATTACCTGTCTAATAAAGACTAACAAGTAGGATTTATTTTAATATAAATTTCTTGAAGACTTGTGGTATAAATTTTAATAGACTATACTTTATTATGGGTTATAGTCTCAAATTATATATTTTTAAATATTGTATTGTGTAAAAAATATATATTATTACAAATATTGCAGCTTCACATAAAAGAAATCCCAAATCTATACATTATAAACAAATTCTAATAATTGAAATCTAGTGATGAAGTACAATTACAAACTTATCTCCAAAATGACCGGACGCAACTTTCATCATCATCAAAAACAAGTTAGGTAGGATATAAAGCTTTTATTAGCTTTCGTCCTAAATGTTCGGAAGTCAGTGAAAGCAGACTTCATTGACTAATAAGGCCAGAGTTCAAAGACTCGGCTATCTACCTATTTAATCTGTGCCTATGATAAACGTGGGTGTATCCACAGATACGAACATAAATAGATTTCGCAACTATATATTACCTACCTACCCATGTAGTTACGATATATTTGCGTATATATTTCTTTACATTCTACCGCAATTTGAATTACCTTCACTAAACTTCCATTGGAGTTCCTATATATGTGCATTGTATATATATAAATAAGTATAGAGGGTTGATAAAAAGAGGCCTATATATACTAGTGCATTGTATATATATATATATATATATAATATAGCTTATTATTGTATAGAAAATACATTGGGTTTTTTGATGATTAAAACAAAGAATCCAAACTCATAAATTTCCGCGTTTATAATATTAGTAACTAAAACTACCAAATATATTATATGCAAATTAATTGCTAGTAGTATAGGTAGTACTGACTCGTTTTTCATATTTAATATTATGTATACAAATCGTGGAAATACCGGACAAACTAATTATTGAGGATGACGCTCGACATTACTGTGCCTGCATATAGTTTAATCATATATATGTATAATATACAATAAATGAATATATCTTAGCTACATATAACAAATGATATAGTAGTTACTCGTAAGTAACCACATCATCATTACATAGTATAAAACAAAGTCGCTGTCGCTGTCTGTCCGTCCCTAAGTATGTTTAAATCTATAAAACTACGCAACGGAATTTGAAGCGTTTTTTTTAATAGATAGAGTGATTCAAGAGAAAGATTTATATATATAATACATGTACACTCGGGCTAAGCCGGTTCGAGTAGCTAGTATAATAATAATAACATCTCTGGACAATTCACACAACGCCAACTAGTCCCAAGGTAATCAGAGCTTGTGTTATGGGTACTAGACAACTGATATAAATACTTAGATATATATTTTTTTGTAAATACATACATATTATACATAGAAAACTCCCAGACCGATACAAAGATTCATACTCATGAATACAAGTGTTTCTATCGTGCGAGGAATCAATCCCGCGACTATAGGAAGTAAAACAGCGTGCTAAACCGCTATACCATCGAGGCCGTCAATGCATGTATCTACTTAATTGAAGAAAAACATATATATAATATTTGCTTTTTTAAATTTTACTAGTAAGTATCTCTGTGGGAATGAAACTTTTTTGCAATAAATATATTTTGTATCTAATCTAATATAGTCCTAGATACAAGTTGTTAGCACAAGAAATTTCATTAAATTATGTCCAGTAATTTTAGTTGATAGATAAACAAACAGACAGTTCAAAACAATTAAAACCATCTGTATTAGGTCGACGCGATCTCGTTACAGTATCATTATAATGTATTACAAGGTATGTCAACAGTCAATTTCTGTTTTCAAAATCAGACACGTATTTCCCCCATATAAGGGTGTATGACAGGGGTGGCAAGCCGGGGGAGGGGTATGCGTGCACTAGGGATATGCGGCTCGGCGACGCCAGGGCTCGATCGATATTGCTTGCCAGTGTTACCACGTTAAAAGTGTTACCACTAGATCTGGTGTATTTGACCTACTTTGATGGGCAAAATTTGTTTTTAGTGGCTAATGAATTTTTTTATTTCGCAAATATCGCGCGGGTAGATATATATATTTATACATCGTCTGCGAAGTAGAAAATATAAATCGGTTATACAATGAAAATACCCGTTACATCACTGAAATTTTCGGATAAAAATTAAATTTTATAATAACAGTTATTATTTTTATATTTCTATAATATTTATTGGAGCTAAATTATGAATTAATTATTTTAGGTACAATTTTTTAATATTGTTATTAATAAAAAATGCAATGTCATTTTACGTAAAATTATAATTTGGTGGTTTTCCTAGTAGCTTTATTAAAATTATAGTGGTTTTGTGGTGGTGTTTGTGTTCTGCCTAGTGGGCTTGCCCAAATGTTGTTAGCAACACTGTTCCTTGCGCCTCACTCTGTCTAGTTCGGTCCGCGGTGCGCCTGTCTGTCGGCCAGTGTTTCGTGTGTTCATAGCCTTACTGTGGACTCAGTGAGTCTCAGTGTAGTGACTCTTATTGGATATACGGAAATGAGATAGTCCTCGTTGAACTACTGGTATGTTGTGTACTAATTAATTTAATCTGTATTATCAATAGTTAGGTTTTCGGTGCAGTGCCCCTGTTTATGAATCAATAGTGCGGTTTCCGTGTCACTAGGAAGTGGGACTAGACGTGAGAACTTATCTCTATCGATACATATGTATTAAGTGTATAATGAGGTCAAATAAAAAGATATAGAGCAGTACAATGTAAAAAGAAATGATTAATTTGTTAATTATTAATTAGATATTTTGAAATAAATATTCAAAATGCTCGTGGTATAATAATTTTGAAGGAACACTACAGTTTCTTTGAAGTAGGTTTTAGGTTTAGGATTATCAAATATTTCAATTTTTTATTATAAAGAACTAATAACAGCCAATATATTATTACTGATTATATAGGTGAATGTTTATTACTTAATCATGAGTATATTAGTATTAAGTGGCTGGATAGCTTTTAATGAAATTTGGTATATAGATAGATCATATAATAGATTAATACCTTTGACCTGTATTCATAGG